TTTCCATCTTTGTGTTTGTCCTTTTGCTTTTAGCATTTCTTTCAATGCATGATCTGTGATACTGAGGGGCTGTTGCTCTGTTGCAACAACTGCCCGGCAACCTACCACTTAAACTGCCTTTCTTCACCTCTTGAGGTATAGGCTTTAAGAATTTACATTCTCGTATTTGTTTCTGATTGTTAGAGAACCTGATACTATTTTTATTTACACTTGCAGACAGCTCCCGAAGGGGATTGGCAATGCCCCAACTGCAGCAACAAGGAATTAGGAGATTCACCAAATGAACCTGCAAATCCAAACACAACATCACCTGCTATGGATGTATGGTTTCGATTCAGTGCTCTTTCAACTCTAACCATTCAAGTACTTCTTCTCTAGGTTATATAATCTGATATTTAAAGATTATAACCTAAGAACTTAATATGAACTGCAGGTAGGCTTAAGTAATTTCAAAGCTTTAAATGGTATTCAAGGACTAAACCAACCCTCGGGTCTTTAGATTTTTGTCTGTACCCATTTTTACAAATATTCTACAATGCAAGTTAATGAAGTAAAAGATTTGACAGAAAACATTACACAGTCTAATAATAATGTTTCTCTCATTGAACCAGAGGTAAATAGCTCTTTAAACCGCTGTTTCCTAAAAGCAATTATTAGTAATCTGTTTTTTGGTCTTGATGAGAAGACAATTCCATTCTATCTATTTCAAAATGTGGAATCTGGTGAAAGAAAAATTAAGGTTGATAAGAGAAGTCGAAGGAAAAAGGCTGCAAAGGAAAGTGGAAAAGGTTCTCAAGGTTCTGAAAAAGGACCTGACAAACTTCTCACATAAAGGTAATTGTTTCCTTGTGTTACTATTGGTATTCCTAGTGAGTTTATACTTCTTTTTGTATCAGTGAGTATTTAATATTATAATAGTGTAGAGAAGCCAAGGTAGAAATCAAATAGTTTAGGCATCCAAGGCTTAAGGCAATGATTATTTGTTGAACCATTGGTTCTTACGTAACATCAGATGTACTCTGACAGAAAAAAAATAATAAGGGAAAATTGCAGAAAACTTTCATGGGACGTGTTCTCTGATACTAATGGTCATTGAAGTTTGCTTGTGTTTTTGGTAATTTGCAGGGAAGGTTCGAAGCAATCAGTGGAAGCCTGTAATGCCCTTATGCAGGCAAGCAAGGTCTGATGATTTTGGTTTTTTAAATTACAGTATATCAAATAATACTCCATGCTGATTTCTGTATCTCTCTGTTTATCAAAGTAGAATAGTGGTGACAAAGAGGCAAATCCATTGCCAGAAGCAGCCTTACAGCACACACAAATAGGAAAAGATCAAAAAGAGAACTTTTAAGCTTCACCTCAATTGTGTAATTATGTTAAGTTACAATTTCTAACAGGGTTTTATCCACAAATTCATGTTAATAAATATGAGCATTTCCCTTGAATAGTGCTCAGCTTCTAGTGACACAGAACTCAGCTCCAAGTTGTACACTAGATAGAACTTTTGGTGGTGCCTGGTCAGAGGAGGAGCTTGATAGTCTTTGGAGGGGTGTCTAGCGACATGGGTAGCATGAGTGGGAAGTGATGCTTGGAGATCCCATACTGAGATTCTCAGATCATAGGGTCGCAGAGGACTTGGCAGAGAGGTGGAGAAAGGAGAGGCTCAACCTCACGAATTGTCAAGATACTCTGGCACACTCTGCACCCTCGTATCTTTTCAATTTGGGGCTTTAGCAACTGCTCAACTGTGTCAGAATGTTGTTGCAGTGGGCTCAGGACCAGTGGCTCGAGCAGGAAATTGGTAGGGAGGAACTACACCAAGGCATCATGAAAGCAACTATTGGTTTCCAGTGCCCTTACAACCAGTGCCATTGCGAGTGGTACCTTTGTAAGTCAAAACTACCCTTGATCAAGAAAGGAGACCAGAGCAAAATCTTCTTTTGGGTGGGATATTCAAACTTTCCCAAGATAACATTGGAATCTTGGGAAACTCAAACAGACCCCACCTAGAGGGAGAGGGACGAAAAGATTATTGTTTTCTTCCGAGGGAACTATCTTTGATTGACTGAGGATATTCCCTTACTAGCTCTTATTGTTCTTCTTCCTCAGCTTCTACAAGTGATTGGTCCTACTAGTAGAAGGTCTAGAAAATATATTGTAACGAATGGATTGTGTACAGTAGATTTTCGTAAGGATCCAAACAAAATGCTTTGTTTTCTTTGCCCTTTTCCTTTTCACATCTCCTAATCCAACAATCAAATTATGCACAGGCAGATGATTCTACGACAAAGAGGTATTTGATGTGACCCCTTATCTTTAAAAGTAAACAAGCTAGCACCTTTTCTGATCAGCCTTCATGCCAAATTGTTTTATACCTTTGCTCCACTGTGCGGCATGCCCGATAACCTATCACTTGTTCTGTCTTTCTCCACCTCTTGAGGGATACACTTTAAGCACTTATCTTGACAGTCTGAAAGGGAGTGGGTATGCCCCAACT